GAGAAGGAGGCAATAAACTCTTGAAGCTGTCAGAGTTAGACCCTCGCCCTGTCAGGGCCAGTATTGCCTCCTCTGACTGATGCCAATTATAAACAAAATTATAACCATGACACTATAATATGCAATATAAAGCTTAGCAGTACATATAGAATACTACAGTACTAGTTTCAGACAAACGACGGCGTTCTAGTACACTGTCCGTTTGCGAGTCCTTCTTCCGGTTTGTCATTCTGTACTTATATCTTCATTAGAATGAAGTGCTGCAAGCCATATTTCAAAAGGCTAATTCTTATACAGTTTTTTGATGTACGCTACCGTGCTTATTCTGGTGACTGGGGAGCTCCTACAGCAAGCTCTAATGTGACTGGGTCTACAGCATATAATAATTGGCTAAGCTTCCCTCAAACGGACAGTGTACTAGAACTCCGTCGTTTGTCTGAAACTAGTACTGTAGTATTCTATATGTACTGCTAAGCTTTATATCGCATATTATAGTGTTATGGTTGTAATTTTGTTTATAATTGAGTTCTAAAACATTGCAGATAAAAATCAACTTACATTGTTTATTTGTACACGGTGATTTACTGTTTTACTGGCTACTTTACACTGTGGTCCTATTTGTTGTAATATATCCTCTGACTGATGGGCAGCGTTTCTCCAGGGTCTCAGGCAGAGGTCATTTGCATCCCCCTGTTGCTCAGTCCTTTTTAACCCAGCAGTGCTGGGGATTGAACCCGGGACCTTCTGCATGCAAAGCAGATGTTCCGTCACTGAGCTGTGGCCTTCCCCTTGCAAGCAAGCACGGTGAGCGTCCTGGAAAAGCGGCAGGACCTTTTCTCGTGGGTCGTCCATGCATTTATAACAGGAGGGTCCTCGTTAGCCCTTCCCGGTGACCAGACGTGCCACGCAGCCTCGGCATTGGTCCACTGGCTCCCCATTCCGCTTTGTCGTTTGCAAGGCACTTCTCCCAGAACGATATTGTGGCTTCCTTTGTTATTCAGCCATCAGTCCAGCCTGGGGGCAGGGCACGTTATCTGGTTATTACCACCACGATAGCTTTAAAGCTCATAGTAACATGAGCCAATGTTCCCTCTAAGCTGTGGAGTCTTGTGAGCAAAAATTCTACTCTGTGAGCTAGTAGCATTAAAGTTGTGAGTGAGCGATTTGGCCACTGCATAAATCAGTGTGCTCTGGAGCCATCTTTCCTGAGCTAAGACAAAAATCTGTGAGCCGGAGACTAAAAAACTGTGAGCTAGCTGTGGTGGCTCAAGTGGTTAAGACACTGAACTGCAGGCTGTGGAAGGTCGGTAGTTCAGCAGTTCGAGACCCGAGTGTGCCGCGTGATGGAGTGAGCTCCCGTCTCTAGTTCCAGCTCCTGCCAACCTAGCCGTTCGAAAGCAAGAAATTGCAAGTAGATAGATAGGTACCGCTTCGGTGGGAAGGGAACAGCGTTCCGTCCGCCTTGGTGTTTAGTCATGCCGGCCACATGACCCCGGAAACGTCTTCGGACAGCGCTGGCTCTTCAGCTTTGAAACGGAGATGAGCACCGCTACCCTAGAGTCGGATTTGACTGGCTTTCGAGCAAGGGAACCTTTACCTTTACCTAGCTCACACTAACTCAGCTTAGAGGGAACACTGGTAACATCATAGGGAAGTGTAAGTTGGAGAGTTCTCAACTCACGGTCTTCCCTTTTCCAAACACTCTGGGTTTTTCATCTCGTTCAGACGTAGGACAAAGTGTATAGGAAGCGAACATTCCAGAAGAGAAGAAAAATGCCGGAGACATAACAGAGTAAACGCTTTTAACTGTGATTAGTTGTCATTTCCTGTCGGCCACTGGAGGGCAGCGTCCGACTCTGGTCATCCATCAGGGCCGCCGCTTCCATCAGGACGTGGCTTCTGTAGAACCTGGGGGCTTGGTAGGCATGTCACCGTGCCCCTGAAGGATCGCCACCTGCCTGGCAGCCATCGCCACCCGCTGCAGGCAAGCGGGCAGAGTGCAAGAACCGTGCGTCGGCAGGGCCAGTCTGTTTTGTCTTGTGTTAAGTAGCAGTTTTGCCGGCAGGCAAGTGGCCGCATCCATCACTGAAGTGATAAGGAGGAGGAGATAAGCAGGAAAAGTCATGCCCCACTGTAGGGTTAGGTAGGTGCGTTGAAGGGGTGCCAGCCTCCAGGGGGGACCAGGAGATGCCCCGGAATTACAGCCCATCTCCAGACAACAGAGACCAGTGTCCCCTGGAGAAAAGGGCTGCTTTGGAGAGTGGGCTCTCTGGCATTGGGCCCCACTGAGGTCCCTGTCCTCCCCAGGCTCCATCCCCACATCTCTAGGAGTTTCCCAACCTGGAACTGGCAACCCTGCCCCCCCCCCATCCCCTGCGGGTGGCCAGGGGAGACCAGGTCACCCTAGTGGGTAGGCTTCCCCAGAGGAGTTTGCATGGCTGGGCATAGGTCGTGCCTTATTGCAGAAGCCCATAGGTGGGTAACCATGCATTAATTGTTTTTAAAAAGAAGCAAAAAGGAAAATACTTTTGCATTACTTATTAATGCCTGCCCCAATTGGTGTGGGAGGGGATCAAGTTTGCAGAGAGAAGTGGATTTTTTTTCTTATTGTCAGCACACTATCCACGTTGGCTTAACCAGAAGGTTTTATCAAAGCAGGAGAGGAAATTGGGACACAAAGTCTGTCTGTCTGTCTCTCTCTCTCTCGTTGTTTGCTGTTTGGAATTAATCTAAGCTTCATCCTAGGAAAGGGAATATGTCCGGCAAGGCAAGATGGCCATGGAAGCAATGGACCAGATCCTGGCTCAAGAGGAGAACTGGACCTTTGAGAAATGCAGTGTAAGCCGATAGCTCCCTAGTGATTGGGGATGGAAGACCCCTTTGGTGGGTCATCCTAGTGCAGTGGTGGCGAACCTATGGCACGGGTGCCAGAGGTGGCACTCAGAGCCCTTTCTGTGGGCACACGTGCCATCGCCCCAGCCAGGCCCAGACCATCATTAAAGTGCCGAATTCTCTGCCAAATAATTTTAAGTAAATGAAAGCATTTGGGATTGCTTTCCTTACTTTGTTTGAATCATCTTAAGTCAATGTATGAGTTGTTTTTTTCTAAACTAAACCTCAGTATTCAGGTTAAATTGCCGTGTTGGCACTTTGCAATAAATAAGTGGGTTTTGGGTTGCAGTTTGGGCACTCGGTCTCTAAAATGTTCGCCATCACTGTCCTAGTGGGTCAGTTTGAATCCAGTAACAGCCTGTTCTCAAAGAGTCCAGCTTTCGCCAGCTTCGGGTTGGAGTGTGGGTGCATTTCAAGCTCCCCAGTAGTTTGGAATGCTTTAAAAAAAACCAACCAACCCTGTAAAACATCACTATGAGAGGAGAAATCCTTGTGATTCTTTTAGATGTGCTGGAAAAAAAGGCCGTGTTCGGTTTCCCAAAGCAATTAGGCAGAGTCTTCCGGAGGGGTGACTGTACCTACAAACCGGAGTTGCTGACCGCTGCCGTTCTTCTGCTTTTTAAAACAAAGTCCTGTAAACACAGCGAAAGATAAACCGGCTGCATGGCTTTTATAAACTATCTTTTAAAAACTCATATCCTGTTTATATAGCCCCAAGAGGCTCTCAGAAGTGGTGGAATTCTTCACTCTAAAGTCACATCAAAAAACTAGTATCGGGAAGGGACTGTCATGGTGGAGTTCCTATGTGGTTCCTGATCGATCGTGCTGTTCCTTGTCCTTGGTCTTCCGTAAGCGTTGGCGCGGAGCTCTGCGGCTGTGTCCTTGGGCCTCCCGCAAAGGGGTAGCTGGAGCTTGTTCTTCGTTTGGTATGGGCAGTTGCCAGGTAGCAGGGCCTGCTGAGGACTGCTCGTTTCTACAGCCCTAAAATGCAAGAGGAGGAAACGGAGGAATGAGCAGGACCATAGATGCCCCAAAGCAATCCCAGACAAACGAGGATGCCTGCCAAGGTTGCCAGGGGAGATCCATGGCTGCACAAGTCGAAGTACCTGGCTGGTTTCCACTAAGCAGGGATGGGGGTTGGGTGCGTCTGTCCCTCTCTGTCCCCTTGCCATTGGCCCCCAGAACAAAATATACACCCCCCCAAAAAAATGTAGGCGGTTTTGCATAATTTTAGCTCTGTATAATTCGTCCACGTGGCACTGAACGTCGTGTGGGGAGTATGCGCATCCCTGTGTATTGGCCACATATAACAAGCAAAGCCACGTTCAGCAAGGCAGTTTCTTCCACTGTGTCCCATCATAAACTCTCTGTCTAGTGTGTGTTTATCCTGCCTTTCCTCTAAGCAGCTCAGGGTGACGTACGTGGTTCTCTGTCCACCGTTTCGTCCTCACCACAGCCCTGTGGAAGAGGCTAGGCTGGGGTCCCGAACACAGTGCCCGTAGGGACCATAGTGCCCGGCAGTGCTCCCCTTTTAAGCTGTGGAGTCTCGTGAGCAAAAATTCTACTTTGTGAGCTCCTGGCATTAAAGCTGTGAGAGAGCATTTTGGCTGCTGCATCAGTCAGTTTGCACAGCAGAAGGGGGACTAAAGTTAAGTTGTGTTAATCATTTTGTGGCTTTCCCCGCCTCCTGCAGCAGCCATTTTGCAACAGCCACTTTATTGCTGCGCCCATCCTTGGGTGTCAGAATTCCAGATCTGCCCACAGGCTCAAAAAGGTCCCTGGGCTGAGGCAGATCTGAATCTGAACCTCCTAGGCTCCCAATCCAACTCCAATGCTCCCTCTAACCCATGTTAGTGTGAGCTAGCTCACAGATTTTTGTCTCCGCTCAGGAAGGACGGCTCCAGAGCAAGCTAATCTATGCAGCTCCCTCTAATCGCTCACTCACAACTTCAATGCCCGTGGCCCACAAAGTAGAATTTTTGCGCACAAGACTCGTCAGCTTAGAGGGAGCATTGTCCGACACCCTGTTATACAACACTGGCACTCTCGTCTTGCCTGGGAATGCGTATCTGTGCACCAAATCAGGTGCACTCAGGAGAGGGCGGAGGGGCATTGTTGGTGACTTTGCTTCCTTTGGAATGCTTTCCCGGGATGCCTAACAAAGTCTGAGCAGGTCCATTCCTGGGACTGACTCTTTTTTAAAATATTTTATTGAATTTTTAAATTTAACAACAACTTCTCAAATTATTAATATTAATAAACAAACTACTAAAACATATCAAAACAAGGAACAATATTGTTAGAAGAACAAGGAAAAACCAAACGTTATATTTAGCATAAAGCTGTACAATATACTTAGTATTTTAACACACATAATATTTAGTGGAAATTTACCAAAAATAGGCTCATAACAATCTTATGATGATAAGAATTATATATTTATCCCGACTATAAATTCTATATTAACCAACTGGTTTTGAGAAAATTAAAATATCGATAATTATTGAAATAATTTTTACTCCCAAGAATCTCTTCCAAATTTGTCAAAATAGGGTACCAACGTTCTAAAAAAAAATAAGGACCTGCTAAAGGATCACTACATGTCCTGGGACTGACTTGGTGCCTATTTGGAGGTCGTCATGGGTTAGGGTAGCGTTGTAGTACAAATTAATATCCAGTCAAAAATAGAAGATTGAAGTCAAAATGAGGAGGAAGTTCTTGTATTTTATTGCAATGAAATACGGAAAACAGGCCAAAAGACCCATCAAAACTGACTGCCTTCTGAGCCCAACCAGGAAATACATGAAGTTAAATACTTAAAATGACATCATCATATCATCATCATGGGAATAATATTCAAAAGGCATAATTGGTTACAGAAACTTAAACAACATTTACATAAAAATTCCCTTATTGGTCTAATGCAAGAAAGGATGTCTATGCAATAGCGTCACCTATTTACTTGACATGACCTAAGTCGTATCGGCCGAGGCTTGTTCTCACCGAAACAAAAGTGTTTTTCTCCGATAACAAGGAAAAGATCCATTGTGACCCAGACACTATGCAGTTATAACCTAAACAATTAGAACCATGAACCTTATACCTACTTTTGTGCTAAAAGAATGTTATTGTCTTGTCTGTTAACAGCAACTGGAAAAATCCCCCTGACAGGAAAGACAAGAGGCTTTCTATATACCAGGCCTTCATTATATTCCAATAAAAAGTTAGATCTCTAATAAATCTATATAGTCCCATCTCTACTACAGCGTGTTTCACAGACTCTTCCCCGTCCTGTGCTCTTCAAACGGGGTGGGCTGCCCCTCTGACTTAACTTCCCAAATCAGCCCCCAAAGTGCCCGAAAGCCACTGAATGGCTGCAGGGAAGAGTGCCCCGTCCTTGACTGTGGAACTCACGTGCCTTCCCCACCTCTCGTGCAGGAATTTGGCGACACGGTGCACTCCCTCGAAATGCCTTTCTACGGCAAGGTTTTCATCCTCAAGGTAAGGCGCCGGGATGACCCGAGCGGTGCAGCTTACCCCACTGCATTGAGAGGCGACACCCCACCATTTTCTTTCTCCTTCAGCTGGGGGGTCAAAAGCAGAGTTTTTGGTCTCCTGCCTTCCCAGTTAGATCGTAGGGTACCAACTGGCCAGGACTAACTTCTGGAAGAATTTTGCTCTTTAAGGTTCCAAAGGGAGGATGGGGAACTGATGTCAACGTCTCCGGCTACACGCTCCGTGTTCCCCTCCTGGGGGGGTGGCATTGAATACGAATTACGTACGTTGCCCAGGAGAAGCAACAGGGCTGGAAGTGTAAAAATAAATCCACAAGAACTGTGCACAGTGCGCTCAATATTTCTTTAACAAAAATCGTGAAGTTATGAATATGAAAGTACAAAAGTAATAATAATAACATTCAAGTTATAGATTCAGGTACATAAAGATAGAAGGTGACAACAACGGGACGGTAGTCTCTGGAATGCAGTGCCGTTTCGACAGACGTCTTCTTCTAACCAATAGTCTATAAGCCAATAAATAATATATTTATTCTGTTGCATTCCGGAGACTACCGTCCCAATTTTTGTTAAAGAAATATTGAGCGCACTGTGCACAGTTCTTGTGGATTTAATTTTGCATGTCTATGGACTGTGACCATATTTATTTTGATGGCTGGAAGTGTGCCAATCTCATTAGGGACTCCCAGCCGCCTTTCAGAGTTGATAGGCGGGGCTTTGAGCGACTTGACACAGAACAGTGTTGTGGATCGCCAGGAGCAGGGTGGGTCATGTCACCAAATGAGTCATTGGCAACCGGGGGAGGGAGAGGGAGGTAAGTGGAGCTCCAGGAAGTGTCGAGACCTTTATTTCCTTTTGCCGTGCCTACTTCCAGCCCGGGAGTGTGTGCTGTCCAAGAGGGGCTGCCAGTGAAACCCCGGGAAAGGTTTGTGCCATTATAACCGCCTTCCCTCCCTCGCAGGCTGTCCTGCAGTGTCCGGCTGAGATCATCTACCAGGAGATGATTCTCCAACCCGAGAAGATGGTCCTGTGGAATAAAACTTTGTTAGCGTGCCAGGTAAACAGTTCTCAGCCGGTCACTTGGGATCAGGGTGGGGCGACCAAGGACCTAAGAACATCTGTGGTAGGACCTGCAATATTGCTGTTGGGACTTAAAATGGAAGAAGTTAATGTGCAGAAAAGAAAATTGATGTGGTATATGACCACAACTGCTAGAATGACCTGTGCACAGTGTTGGAAACAAGACAGAATCCCGGAAATTGGGGAATGGATAAAGAAATTAATATTCGTGGTTGAAATGGACAAAATGGAAAGGAAACCTAAGAACCTTGAGGCAGAAGAATTCTATGCAGATTGGAAAGACTTTAAAGAGTACCTAGAAAAAATATTGGGACGTAAAGGACAATTTAATTTGCTTTGACAATTATTGAAAAGTTAATGTTATTAGACGAAAGTTAATTAAGAGAAAATACTAGTAGAAAAAAGCGTTACCGGTAGACTATGAATAGAAGATAAGTGGAAAATAGAAAAGAACTAAGAAATGGGCTGGAGGTTGGAGCACTGTGGGAAGCCAGAAAAGGGGGGGGGGGGAAGGGAAAGGATGTATAACAAAAAGTAATATGTTTTGTATGTTTGAACTAATAATATAACCTAATAAATTGGTTTTTTTTTGGGGGGGGAAAGAACATCTGTGGTAGGGTACTGTCGGAAATCCTTGGCCTTCTAACGAAAAAGGCTTCTTTGAAGGAGAAACCCATGCCAAATCATTTTTGACTGGCTTGTCTGCATAGGTGGGCGAAACCCTGCTCTTGTTTCTCTCTCCACAGATCTTACAACGAGTCGACGACAACACGGCAATATCCTACGATGTGGCCGCAGGCGCTGCCGGAGGTGTGGTGTCACCCAGGTGGGTCCAGACTTGGGTTACAAGCTTGACAGATCTTCCTTTTCTTACTGAGTTGGTGACCTCTTGTTTTCCTCTCTGTCATCTTAGGGACTTTGTCAATGTGCGTCGGATCGAAAGGAGGAGAGACCGCTACATTTCAGCAGGGATGGCCACAGTTCACGGCTCGCGCCCTCCGACTTCCAAATACGTCAGGTAGAAAGTGCTTGGCTGTTGGGGGCCTCAGTTTTATTGTCTTTTGGCCTTTCCCAATTTTTTTAGTTGCTGTCCATCTCAAGAAGATGTAAGTGCATGCGAGCAACACCAGGCGGTAGAAAAGAGCAAGAGTCCACTTCTCACTTCTTCAGATACCCGTGACTCATGAAAGCTCCTCCCCTGCCACAGATTTTGTTAGTCTCCATGGTGCTACTGGACTCGTGCTCTTTTCTACTGCTACAGGCAAATTTAACACAGCTGCCCATCTTGGTCTAACAAAAGGCTGCAATTTAAAAAAGAAATATGTCTGCTGTCTTGGGTCCTGCAGATACATAGTGCTTTCTTCCACTTGGGGTTCCCAGCCTCAAGGTGGGGGCTGCAGTTTCTTCTTCTTCTTCATCATCACCCAAAGAGTCATTAACACGTGGAATTCACTGCTGCAGGAAGCGGTGGCAGCTACAAGGACAGACAGCTTCAAGGGGGGATTGGATAAATATATGGAGCAGCAGGCCATCAGTGGCTCTTATCCACAAGGTATAGATAGGAACTCTCAGGCTGGGGCAAGGGATGCTCTGTATTCTTGGTGCTTGGGGGAGGGGGGCAACAGTGGGAGGGCTTCTAGTGTCCTGGCCCCACTGCTGGACCTCCTGATGGCACCTGGTATTTCTGGCCACTGTGTGACACAGAGTGTTGGACTGGATGGGCCACTGGCCTGATCCAACATGGCTTCTATTATCTTCTTAGGAGCAGAGGTCCATCAGTGGCTATTAGCCACAAGGTATAGACAGGGACTCTCAGGCTGGGGCAAGGGATGCTCTGTATTCTTGGTGCTGGGTGGGGGCAACAGTGGGAGGGCTTCTAATGTCCTGGCCCCACTGCTGGACCTCCTGATGGCACCTTGTATTTTTGGCCATTCTGTGACACAGAGTGTTGGACTGGATAGGCCACTGGCCTGATCCAACATGGCTTCTCTTATCTTCTTAGGAGCAGAGGTCCATCAGTGGCTATTAGCCACATGGTATAGACAGGAACTCTCAGTCTGGGGCAAGGGATGCTCTGTCTTCTTGGTGCTTGAGGGGCAGCAGTGGGAGGGCTTCTGGAGTTCTGGCCTCCTGACGGCACCTGGGCGTGACACGGAGTGTTGGACTGGATGGGCCATTGGCATGTGGAAGTAGCCGCTCTAGTTCACTTGGGGTGAGCGCGCGTGCCCGTCTGCACATCCCACACCCTGTCTCTTGCACGTGACCCGCATTGAGTTTTGAAATGCATGGGTGTGTCCTCCAAGAACCACTTTTCAGCGCCGCCTCTCTTCCACGCCTGTGACGGAGCGTCCGGCCCTTCTGCAGCTCCCGGCTGCCGTCTTGTGATGAGCAGAACCTCCTGGCCGAGTGTCTCCCAACAAGCCCTCTTTGTTTTGGGGGCCTCAGGGCGACCGGCCAGGGAGGCCTGGCTCAACAACTCTTGTTTCCTCAAGGAATCGCACTTAAAAGTCATTGGTTTTTAGCTCGGCGTCTTCTCAAACGTTGGGGAAATCAAGGAGCCGGGCGGTATCTTGGAAGCCTGGACGTGAAGATTGTCTTCCTGGCCATTTTGGTTCCTGAGAAAAATTTTAAAAATGAGATCTTGGTGTCTAGTAGTCTTGTCACACGACCCTGACGACTCCCCCTCACTGCTGCTAGAGTCCTCAAGCCCCCCTTGGTGACCCGCCCGTCCAAGCAGCAGGGGCCTCAGACACCTGAACAGGGAGGGAGTTTCCTTCACCGTCCCTACCACAACGTTTCTTCTGGATGGATGGCACTCTCCGTCTCTCCGCTCAGCGTTGCCCTACTCCAATCCAGGGCGTCCTCCCCGCCCTCTTGTTGCTGCTTCCTTTTATTCTCCACCCTTGCATCCCAGTGTCCCCCGTGCTCTCCCCGATCTCCTCCCCTCCCGAGCCCTGCCCCCCTACATAATTGAGGACGCCGACTCTTGGGAGGGGCCGCGGCCTCCGCTACTTCTTCCTGATTTGGGTGCGATACGACCGGACAGCTCTGTGTGGGGCGTGGCGCCCAGGCGCACTCTTGCGCCAGGCCACAGGCCCGGCACGGCCGTCTCAACTCGGCCAAATGATCCCCCGACGCCTCTACTGTCATCACCGGTTGGGGCTGGCGTGGGGGCTACCGGCGAGCTCTCCTTGGCTGCCTTGCCCTGGACTCCCCCGAAGCCCCAGGTAAGTACAGGAGGGCCCAGGGGCTGCCCCCCTGGCGTCGGGAGTGGCCTTGTCGGTGCGGGGGGGGGGCCGTCCCCATCATCGGGACATAGTCTGAGAGTTGTCTTTAGGAGGGTTCTTCGTTCTCCTTTTCTGCTCTTCCTGCGTAATCTCTGCGGCAGGAGTAGGGAGAAAGTGGGAATAACGCAGGCCCCCCCCACTTCCTGTTCCCCTTTGCAAGCCCTCGCTTTTAGGGTAGCGTCTGATTTGGAGCAGGGAGGCCCGGGTCTGAGTCCAGGGGTGCTCTTCTGACAGGGCAACAGCAGCAAGTCCTTGGATAGAGCGGCCAATAGCCCATCCAGTCCAACACTCTGTCACACAGTGGCCAAAAATACCAGGTATCATCAGGAGGTCCAGCAGTGGGGCCAGGACATTAGAAGCCCCCCCACTGTTGCCAAACCCCACCCAAGCACCAAGAATACAGATCCAGCAGGGCTCTTCTTACCAGGGGAAGGCCTCGGCCTCTATGCCCTGTTGTTGGCTACCAGGAGGAACTGGTTGTCCACTGTGTGAGACAGGATACTGGACTAGATGGACTACTGGTCTAATCCAGCTGGGCTCTTCTTATCAGGGGAAGGCCTTGGCCTCTATGCCCTGTTGTTGGCCCTCCTGAGGAAATGGTTGGCCACTGTGTGAGACAGGATGCTGGACTTGATGGACCACTGGTCTGATGCAGCAGGGCTCTTCTTATGTTCTTACCAGGGGAATGCCTTGGTCTCTATGCCCTGTTGTTGTTCAGTCTTTGGGTCTCTCGTGTAATGCTATGTCAGCATTTTCTTTTTAATGTTTGGTTGTACAGTTGGCCCCAAATGGCTGTTTCCTTAATAGCAAGGAAAGGCATCAATACCGAGGCTGTGTCCGCTTTCCACAAAAACAGTTTGAATTTTGCTTCCAAGCAGTGTGACCAGAAAAATTGTTCTCTATCGATCTGTTCCTCCTTAACCTGTTCTGTGATTTTTTCTTTCTTTCACGTAGTTCATTCTGGTTTTCCCGGGCTTGGGGAAGGCCAGAGAGACCGAAAGCCATCCTACCTCACCCAACAAACTGAAAATACTGTGCAGCTATTCCTTTGCATTCTGAAATTTCACCAGACATTGCCCACACGTTTTTCAGCACTACGAGAGCTAGAAACTTGGTTTCTCAGGAAGCTGGATTCATTCTGGTTTTCCCGGGCTTGGGGAAGGCCAGAGAGACCGAAAGCCATCCTACCTCACCCAACAAACTGAAAATACTGTGCAGCTATTCCTTTGCATTCTGAAATTTCACCAGACATTGCCCACACGTTTTTCAGCACTACGAGAGCTAGAAACTTGGTTTCTCAGGAAGCTGGATTTTGCACCCAGGATTACATTTGGCCCCTTCACGGAATTGCAGTATACCCCGAAGTCCTAGAGACTATTTCAAAAGCCTAGGGCAGTATGCCCTAGGCTTTTGAAATCGTCTCTAGGACTTCGGGGTATACTGCAATTCCGTGAAGGGGCCAAATGTAATCCTGGGTGCAAAATCCAGCTTCCTGAGAAACCAAGTTTCTAGCTCTCGTAGTGCTGAAAAACGTGTGGGCAATGTCTGGTGAAATTTCAGAATGCAAAGGAATAGCTGCACAGTATTTTCAGTTTGTTGGGTGAGGTAGGATGGCTTTCGGTCTCTCTGGCCTTCCCCAAGCCCGGGAAAACCAGAATGAACTACGTGAAAGAAAGAAAAAATCACAGAACAGGTTAAGGAGGAACAGATCGATAGAGAACAATTTTTCTGGTCACACTGCTTGGAAGCAAAATTCAAACTGTTTTTGTGGAAAGCGGACACAGCCTCGGTATTGATGCCTTTCCTCGCTATTAAGGAAACAGCCATTTGGGGCCAACTGTACAACCAAACTTTAAAAGAAAATGCTGACATAGCATTACACGAGAGCCCCAAAGACTAAGACCATTGCCGAAGACATAGAAACAGCTATAAACTTTGAGGAGGGAGGAGGGAGGGTAGAGTATACAATATGTATGGGAATAGGGATATGTTTGACTGTAACATGGAAAAAATATAATAATAATTTAAAAAGAGAGACCCAAAGACAGAACAACAACAGGGCATAGAGGCCAAGGCATTCCCCTGGTAAGAACATAAGAAGAGCCCTGCTGGATCAGACCAGTGGTCCATCGAGTCCAGCATCCTGTCTCACACAGTGCCTAACCAGTTCCTCTGGAGGGCCAACAACAGGGCATAGAGGCCAAGGTCTTCCCCTGATAAGAAGAGCCCAGCTGGATTAGACCAGTGGTCCATCCAGTCCAACATCCTGTCTCACACAGTGGACAACCAGTTCCTCTGGAGGGCCAACAACAGGGCAGAGAGGCTGAGGCCTTCCCCTGGTAAGAACATCAGAAGGGCCCTGCTGGATCTGTATTCTTGGTGCTTTGGGGGGGGGGGTCAACTGTGGGTGGGCTTCTAATATCCTGGCCCCACTGGTGGACCTCCTGATGGCACCTGGTATTTTTGGCCACTGTGTGACAGAGTGTTGGACTAGATGGGCCATTGGCCTGATCCAATATTGGCTTCTCTTATGTTCTTATAGGGAGCAGAGGTCCATCAGTGGCTATTAGCCACAAGGTATAGATAGGGACTCTGGGGCAAGTGATGCTCTGTCTTCTTGGTGCT